TTCTGGAGAGCACTAAGCCAAGTATTGTTTGCCTCACGGAGACCTGGCTGTGCCCATCTGTTTCCGTGCATGTACCGGGCTATTCCTGTTTCAGAAGAGACAGACCAGCACACGAGAACAGAAATGCACACTCTTTCACTAGAGGATATGGTGGTGTCGCGGTGCTTGTCCGGACTGATGCTTTTCAACATATTCTCCACAGGCCCGACCTGCAGCGTCAGGGCTGTGAATCTACCTGGGTGGAAGTTAAGTCTCAATGCACCCCTAACCCTATTCTTGTATGTTGCATGTATCGACCCCCTTCCCAAACGGCGGTACAATTGTCCTTCTTCTCGGATATGCTGGTCGATGCTATACAGTCCTCTTGCTATGACGAGTGTGACTTCTTCCTGACGGGGGATTTTAATGCCAAACATAATGATTGGTGCTCTTCTGACTCCACCTCTACAGCCGGTACCAACCTACAGACAGTTTTTTCAATGCTTGGGCTCCAACAACTAGTGAGTTTCCCAACATACACTTCATCAGCGGGTGCCAACTCATGTCTTGACTTGTTGGTAACCAACAAACCCCAACATGTCCTCTCAGTCGACCACGCAGCTCCTCTTGGCACATCTGATCATCTGCAGGTTGTTTGTACGCTCAACTATGCATCGTGCTCGACACCACAAGCGACTGCTAAATCGTCCCTCCATCCCCAGGCTCAGTACAGGTATAAACAAGTGCCTACCCATGTCTGGCAGGTTGTGAATGAAGACTTGTCTAGGTTGGACTGGTCATTACTTCATCGGCATTCTGATGTTGATGATGCCATTGTCCTGTTTGATGCTTTACTACAGTCAGCATTCCGTCGTCATCTGTTGCCTTACAAAGTTATTCCGCGGACAGGAGACTACATTAGGCCTCGTCCTACTATGCGGGATGCATCCCGACCCTGGATCACTCCGGACCTCAAGTGTGCTGTGAAACTGAAGCGAGATTTGTATAGCATTTATAGGAAGTATCCAACCAGTGAAAACTTCATTGCCTTTAAGCGCAAGCGTAACGAAGTGAAATGTTTGTCACGTACCCTCCATCGTCAGTATGTACAGTCGGTTCATGCCACCCTGTCTTCCCATGATCGCCCTAGTCTCCATCAATTTCTCCGCCATCTCCGTAAGAACTGTAGTCGGGAGCCGATCCGATCAATGACAGCTTCAGACGGCACGGTAGCAACAGATCCCGCAGACATAGCAGACATATTGAACACGCAGTTTACGTCGTTTGGACTTCCTGACGACCCTACGTGGCCTATACCACCACTCACCCCTTCACCCTCAATACCTGCGTCCCTCCTATCATTGTCGACTGGTACAGCCCAAGTGAGGAAATATCTCCGTAATCTGAAAACTGGCAAGTCCCCTGGTCAAGACGGAATTACCAACGAAGTTTGGAGAGCTCTTGCTCCGTCTGTTGCCTATCCTGTGTCAATTATCTTGAATATGTCATTTCGTGAAGGGAAATTCCCAGCCATGTGGAAAACTGCGGTAGTCGTGGCCACCTACAAAAATAGAGGACCACGCACCACCCCCAGCAACTATCGCCCTATCTCATTGCTCTCTACTTTATCAAAAGTGTGCGAACGTGTTGTATATGACATCATTTATGATCATGTTCGCATTTCACTTTCGCCAGCACAGTCGGGCTTTTGTCGGGGTGACTCCACCAGGTACCAGGTTACCCGCCTCGTGCAAGACATCCACACCGCCCGGAACGCCCATAACCATGTTGGTTTAGTTTTCTTCGATCTCGCAAAGGCCTTCGACACTGTTTGGCACAGGGGTCTCTTAGCTAAGCTGCGAACAGTATATCGCATTGATGGCAAGGCTATCGGCTGGCTCTCATCGTATCTCTCTAACCGACATCAGCTTGTACGCCTCTCAACTGTGTTATCGGAGCCTTTACCCGTTACTTCTGGAGTCCCCCAGGGTTCAATACTTGGGCCACTGCTATTTCTCCTGTATATTAATGACCTCCCCGATACTGCCCCTGGTGTCAGCCTTTTCGCTGATGACACAGCTCTGCTTTGCTCCAATGCTTGCCCTATACGCCTGCACAAAGCCATGCAAGATAGCATTGGGAAAGTTATAACCTGGATGCATGATTGGAAGTTGCAGCCAAACGTTGATAAAACGGCAGCTATGTACATTTCCCCCTCTCCCCCTTCCCTGCCACTTTGTTTTCCTTCTTCAAGTGTTGCTATTCGCATTGTTGAAGAGCATAAGCATCTTGGCGTTATTATTGACTCTAAATTGTCGTGGTCACCCCATGTGCAGTATGTCTGCAAGCGCACAAGCTCCATCCTTGGGGCTCTTCAAGCCCACTGTAGACATCTTCCTCTTTCTTGCAAACGCTTGTTTTATCGTTGCTATATATTGCCCTTACTTGACTACTGTGATACTGCTTGGTGTGGCATAACTACTACTGTATTGAACAAGCTAGAAACCCATAACCGCATGCTCCTTAAAATCTTATTTAGCAAAGATCGTCGCTTTCCCTCCGCTAGTCTTTACGAAATTGCCAAGATCAGTCCCCTTTCCACTCGACATAAGTACCACCTCTGTGTTCTCATACATAAAATATTACTAAATAAAATACCCTTGCATATGCAGGCTTATAATTGGCTCTCCGAAACACGGAACACCCGGAACTCACTCAGTCTCCCACGCGCTGCCTCCACCCTATTCACTAGATCCCCGATCTTTGCTGGCTATGTGTTTTGGGCAACATTACCAACGCAGGCCAAGACCAGCACGTCGATGGATAATTTTGTTGCTAAAATCTCTGCTCAATTATAGGTTTCATGTATATCCTGCTGGTTTGTCTCCTCCTTTGCCTTCTTTGCCTCTTATTTGTATTCTTTTATCTGTTTTACTGCTGTGGTTGGCTTTCACCCTTGTCTCAGTTTTATTGGCCGTCATCATGATGTGCCATGAGATAATGATATAAATACAAATAAATACAAAAATACAAATACGTACACACATGTGCCGAGTGCATCACCCAGAACGCATGCTAGAAGCCAATAAGGCCGCACAGGTGGTGTTATAGCAGGTCCCAGCCACTGTTGTTGTTGATTTCCGGGGATCGCTCCCTGATGTTGATGGCCTCTCGGATCCTCCTCCTGGGGCGGTCACGCTCAGAACCAAGAACCCGGATACCCGAGAAGGCCGTTGCTCCCAATGGCAATGGTTCAGATGTATGCTTGGCTGCGAAATGCTCACCCAGCGCGGTGCCGCTCACTGTGTTGCGTGCGTCGTCGTTGTGTTCTTTTGTCCTGGTGGCGAGGCTGCGGTACGTCTCTCCGACATATTTATCACCACATTTGCACTCGAGGTGGTATACGACGTTTCGCTCTGTGCATGCTTCTGAACCGGACATGCAGGCGACACGAGCAGCTTTGGGCCGCCCCCGTTTACGGGGCTTGGACGGGTCTACATACCTGCGGCATGGTGGTTTGCGGAGGGCAGACGTGTAAATCATAGAACTTAGACGGCGGTTCCTGTAGATCAGCTGGGCATTTATCTTGTACTTCCGGAGTAATTTATGAATTTTGTTGTGGATATACTCGGTGTGAAACGGTAGGTTGAGGGTGACACGGTATTCATTCTGCACTCTGCCACGTCGGGGGCGCATAGCTCGTTCACGTGCCGAAACTATAACTGACTCTGGGAAGTTGTTGAATTTTAGGATGTTGGTTACTTTTTCTTCACTTCTTTTAAGGGTGTCAGCATCGGAGGATAGACGGACGGCACGCAGGAACTCAGAGGAAGCAATTGCTTTCTTTTGCTGGTTGGGAACTGAAGAGTTGTAGTCTGATACCAGTCCGCTGTGACATGGCTTGCGGTATAGTTCATAGGATATAGATCCATCTTGTGAGACATGGACGGTCGTGCCCATGAAATTGATTGAGCCAGTCAACTCCGTGGATTGGTGAGTGAATTTTATATTAGGATCGGCATTATTGAAGTGATCTAGGAAACTCTGCAGAAGTTCCGGACCGAGGTTCCACACAATGAAAACATCATTGATGTAGCGCTTGTACAGAACTGGGCTAGCAGGTGCACTACGCAAGAGCGAACTCTCTAGGTCATGCATGTACAGGATGGCAAAGGGGGGCGCTTGGTTATTGTCCATAGCCAAACCATCCTTCTGGTGGTACACCTGCGCTCCAAACCGGAAGTAGTTAGAGCTCAGCACTACATGCACAGTGTGCTTCCAAGAATATACTAGTAAAGGCCATCCAGAATTAATTCGTTGTTTCGGGTCACCCGGGCCGACCGACCGTCTTTTTTCGCCCGACCGCAAAATGTTTTTTATAGTGCATGCAAATGTACAGACTAGACTATGTACACACGCGACCCTAATAATAGCAGTCCAGATATCGACCTCAGAAGCAGCCATAGCTAGCCAAATGACAGGATGCAGCGCTTGGTGACGACGTTGTCTTCCATCTCCGATTCCGCAATCAGTCCTGAAACAGCATCAGCTCCGCCAGTGCCCACCTTGTCGCTATTTACAGAAGTTTTCAAGGTGAGAGCTGCTCGTCAGACTCGTTTGCCAGCGAGGCCAAGATCTGGTCCTGGAGGGGACCTGGATCTGATGGGACAATGACCTTGATGACTGCGCTGGATTGTCTACACTACAGTAAGATTTGATCGACTGGCTAGATGGACAAAAGCTATTCGATGTACATGTATGGACGTAACCAAAATAAAAAATAAAATGAAATAAAAAATAAACCCGACCGACCGACCCTGGTACAAGGTGGCCTAACAATATAAAAATCTATACGCTTATGCTACATATGCTACGGAGTCTACAAAAGGTTTTGAAATGTAATGGGTGTAAAAGTTCACCAAAAAAAAAACTTTGAAGCCGCGGTCCGGCACCATACGTCCCCGCTCCAAATCCACCTGACGAAATAATCTGGCGTCAATGAAACGCCACTGTGAGCGTGAAGCAAAGTCATCCAGAAGAAATTTGCAATATCAACAACATACCACCAGTTGCAATAGAGGCATCGTTTTCGTGTGATAACTAGAATTTGTCGGGTTTGCTGAGAGACGGACGCGGAGCCATGGTTAGGGGAGCGTATACATTGTACGCGGTGCTGGTCATCGCGGCTGGCTTGCGCTCGGCACTGGCTGGCAACGTGGAAGTGCACATCGACACGAGCAAGGTGAGCTGTGAGAATTGGACGTGTGCCGCCTACTCGTGCTGACTGCTCGTCTGTAGCAACAACAGCCCTCGCCCCCCCCCCCCCCTACCCCGTGATACTCGCACACACACATACACACACGCACACACACACGCGCGCACACATACATGCATACACACGTACACACACACACACACACACACACATACACACACACACACATACGTCCACGCCTCTTCGCTTTGTTTTGGTTGTGTGGCTTCAACCAAATGTCTTGGCGACGGCACTCCTTTTCGGTTGCATCGGTGCATTCATTGCATGGCCCATTCGCCAGCACAGGGAATCACAAAGTACAATGTACTGACAAGTGTAGAGCTGTAGTACTCAGAAGACTGACAAAATACATGTACAAAGTCAAATTCGTTGATCCCCAAGCTGCAGAGAGTGCTCAATGTCAGAGACAGAGCTTAGTACATAGCAGACTCAGCGGAGGACGTTCAGGTTGGTTGTAACTCTGAGTTTCATGCCGCTAGGCAATCATCAGACAAGTCATGTACTTAGAAGACACACTTCAGGCTCTTGAACATTTTGAAAGTTGTCACTATTATTATTATTATTATTATTATGCTTTCATGCCTTATCATCAGGTGAAAAACTGACAAAATAATGAATGAATGGCATGACTGTAACCACCAATGGCAAGCATGATGTGATAGTCGGGCATCAAAGCACCATTCCATTGTATGTTCATAGGTTGAGGAATGGAAAAAAAACTGAGGTTAGAAAATTGACTGAATGCTGGTACAGGTGGAATCCTGATAATTCGAACCTCCAAATGCTAGAAAAAAACTTCTAATTATCCGGACATTCTAATTATCTAAACAAGAACCCACAACACAATATGTATGTCAAAATGCTCTCATGGTCATACAGAGTTGCGCGTTGGACTTTAGACACAGATCTCACGGATACTGAACTGACAGGCACAGCCTGCTCATGCAAACTGCACTGACCAGTACAGTGTACAGTGAACTTCGAATTACAGTTTGCTAACTTCGAATTATCAGCACAAATCCCACACATCTTCTATGTAAGTGGAATCCGTGGAACTTTGAATTAACCGGACATGTCCGGTTCGAGGTTCGAATTATCGGAAAATCTTATGTGGGAATTGTATTGACAGAAATCGGTCCTGGAAAAACTTCTGATTAAGCGGTATACAAATAATCTACGTGGAGATAAAAGTTTAATAATAGCTATGAAAAGTATGAATGCCGCAGACATAACCACGCAACATGACAATTTGTTCAAGGTTTGGTTTTGTGTGTTTCCAAAATCGATTTTCACATTCCGGTCATCAGTGGAAATACGGAACTAAAGAGATCAAGGGAAAAACAAAGGTTAAAAATCCAAAGAAGTGTGACACATGACGGGTAACTTGTGGTAAGTATTACAAAAAGTGAGAACTAAAATAAAGAGTAAGTGTGACAAACGGGCATGAACAGTGCAGAAACAACTCATGAACACGGGGTGCAAACTCACGAAAATAACCAAAGTGCTAAGCAAAAAGAACATGTTTTAGCACTTAGGTTATTTTCGTGAGTTTGCACCCCGTGTTCATGAGTTGTTTCTGCACTGTTCATGCCCGTTTGTCACACTTACTCTTTATTTTAGTTCTCACTTTTTGTAATACTTACCACAAGTTACCCGTCATGTGTCACACTTCTTTGGATTTTTAACCTTTGTTTTTCCCTTGATCTCTTTAGTTCCATATTTCCACTGATGACCGGAACGTGAAAATCGATTTTGGAAACACACAATACCAAACCTTGAACAAATTGTCATGTTGCGTGGTGATGTCTGCGGCATTCATACTTTTCATAGCTATTATTAAGCGGTATGTTCGAATTAAGTCATATTCGAATTATCAGGATTCCACCTGTAACACATTTGTGCACGCCCCTTCACCTACGTTGTACATGTACATGCAGTGCCAACTGTCTTTCAGTGGTCGTCTCGGTGTCTTCTCTAGTTGGCTTCTTTGGCTAAAGTGCTAGTCATCTTCTATTGACAATCTGATCAGATGTTTAGATGAGAAGGCAGAAATGCATGCACATCTGGTGACATCACAATCACTCAATTGCATCAACCAATCAAAGTTGTTACCGAAGTTGCTACCTCTATTTGGATCAATACAGTCCAATAAAATATTCAAATGATACCCTTGTAGCATGCTACTTAGTGTTGGAGCATGAGTGACAGATTGCGAAGGTCTCTGGTTCCTCTTGATGATGGTCAATTATTATTGCTTAGCCTTCTATCATTACAACTCCCTCACGCTAATGATGATCCTGTCTCTTTGTTCCACCTTTTTTTTAGTCTATTTTTCAATCAATTTTGCACTTTGAATGGGTATTGGCAAAATCAACTTTCACCACCAGACCTCTAACCCGGGACCTTTGATACGTCGACAGTAGTCTAGGCACAGTAGCATGCTCGGTGTGCATGCTACTGTCCAGATCTTGAGATGATCATGAAAATTAATGATGGTAGCATTTTTTTTTTATTCCGCTGTTACGTTCAGGCGGTGGCGACAGTTCCCGAGTACTTCCGTGGCTTCACGTGTGATTGGTGGCGTCATAACAACCCTTCCTATGGCGACGATTGGCGCATGGCCGGTATGCTGACCCTGGATCTGACCAGCACGCGTCTCAAGAAGATGTTCACCAACCTGGTGCCGGCCCTGTGGAGAATTGGCGGCACACCCGAGGACGAGGTATGGTTGTCATGACAGCGGGTTGTGCTTGTTAATGACCTCATACATTACCAGGGATACACCTGGTGTGCAAAGAGTGCTCGAAATGCCGTGCAGGCAGAGCGTAGAACAGTCAAACAATTATGATGTTGATATTTTCCATGCCTGACGGGGGATAAAAGGCAACGTCATGCATTACACAAAGTGCATGTTGAGGCATACGTGTGTGTATGGCATGATTCTATGACTTGCATGGGCAACTTGCACCCGTGACCTGTACTTATTTCGGGCAGCACGTTTCAATTCAATTTTAAGCTAACGACACACGCTCAGCCCGGGGATGAAAAGTCAGTACATGATCTTTAGACACAATTTCCACATTTGGCCCAGTATCTGCGGAAATGGACCTTAGGGTGATTTTTCACAAAATGACTTTTTCTGCTGTTGTCATCTATAGGTATCTAGTGATCACATGGCAAAGTATTAGACCGAATAAAGCAATATTGATGACCCAGAAGCTTCTCAGACAAGCATAGGTACATATCAGGAAATACAACAATTTATCACAGTGTTTTCCACATCGGAATATTATGTGTTACAGCGAAATAAATATAAAATAGACAGTGTAATAAATCATCCATCCAGTTTTTGTTGTAAAACAACTCTTGGGCAACCTCTGGCATAGAGCTTGAATGGTCTTGATCCTCATCACTGCATACCAATGAAAACTGTTTGAACGCCATCCCAAGTCTGCTGAAAATCCACAATAGTGCAGAACAGGAGGGAGGGTGGCTACAACTACACCTGGAGTCCCAGTCTGTGCATCCCACAGGGAATACGACACAGGCACAACATTCTAACACCCCACACTTCATCTCATCGTCATACGTCAGCCTTTGGGTAATCCTGAAATAAAGATTATTATTATTATACACGATTTAGAGGTAGTCCATCACTGCTGCACCTCTGTGAAATTTGAGCTCTGTGGGAACTGGCTGCATGTGCGTCAGTGCGCCATGATTCCAGCACTGAGCGCAGAGAGTTCGTAGCTCATCAATCAATGTTCAGCTCTTGCCCCGTCCAAGGGGTTTGATGTTCACCACGGACTCCAATGTGTGAGCCAGGGAAAATTCAGATCATGTCACTAGCGGCAGCGCTCTTTCGTCCTGACTCGAGTTGATCCAGGGCGTTTCAGTTCGTCTACCTCTGTTGCCGTCGCCTCACTAGTTTCTCCTCGTTGAGTATTTCTCCTGAGCGGAGCTGTACTAAATTCAAAAGGGCCCTACAAGGATTTTCAGATATCAGAAAATACTTTTGCCAGCAGAGAGCTCCTTTGGCGGAGCGCCTAAGTCAAGTTGAAATTCTCGTCGCTAAATAGGAATTGCGCGTCGACAAAAACATCTTCTGGAAACTGTCGTCGTTCTCTATCAGACGCGACGATTCCTGCCTAGGAAATCCAATGACTTCTGGCGGAGCCGGACGGCAGCTAGCTGGCCATCGTGAGCGAACTCTCCTGCTACTGGGACGATCAAAAGCAGTCATTGTTGCAATGAACTAATTTTTTGTTTGAATGTGCAGAGCGCGAAGCAAGAGTTTTTTGCCGTTGCAGAAAATGACTTATTCTGAAAAAAATGATTTTCACCCGAAGGTCGATTCTCGCTGATACTGGGCCATTTATGGATTACAGGTTTCCTAAAGCAGCTTCCTATTAATTTTTGTAGGTTTTAAGAAGATTTTGCACTTGCCACTGCCGGAACTGTACAGCAATATCATCATATAGCTTTATGTGTGGTAGTTATCTCATAATTAAAATGGGCATTATTACATCCTCATGTTTCGATCACCTAACCCACACGCACGGCTCTGTTGTGTTGTGCTGTGGCTGTGCGTTCAACCTGCAGGTGGTGTACGCGATCGGCAACGCACCGGAATGTCCGCCGGATCAGATCCAGAACTCCACCAACTACCCGGGTCCACTGTGCCTGACACCGGAGCGCTTCAAGGACATCGTCATGTTTGCTCACGAGACTGGCGTGCACCTCGCCTTCGGCCTGAGTGGCGCGTACGGACGAGCGAGCGGCAAGGACAACTTCAACTCCACCAACAGTCACGAGCTGCTGAAGTACGCCGCCGCCAACAAGCTTCCAATATTTGCGTTCGAGCTGTCCAATGAGAAGAACGGCTGGGACCCGGTCAAGCTGGGCGAAGACTTTAACACGGTGCGCGGCTACATCAATGAGCTCTGGCCAGACGAGGCAACACGTCCTCTCCTTGTCGGTCCCGACACAGCAAGCACGCCGTGGATGAAGACGTTCTTTGGCACGGCGGGAAAGTCCCTGAACGCGTCCACGTTCCACACCTACTGCAATGGCTACACCACATGCGAGCAGACAATGCTGAATCCGAAGGTGCTCGACGGTTGCATCAACGCGGCCGTCAGCACCATTGAGTACACGCGCGAGGGCATACCCAGCAATCCAAACATGCCCGTCTGGGCCGGGGAGGACGGACCGCACAGTGGCGGCGGGCGGCCCAACTGCACGGATAGATTCGCCGACGCCTACTGGTACCTGGATCACTTGGCCACTCTGGCACTCCATGGCGTGCAGGCATTTGCACGGTCCACGATGGTGGGCGCAAACTACGGCCTGCTGAACCGCACCACATTCGAGCCGCACCCGGACTACTATGCCGCGTTATTGTGGGGGCGGCTGATGGGAACGTCGCATCTGAACGTGACGACTGGGAGCGCGGACGGCATGCTCCGCGCCTATACAACCTGCAGGAACCGATCGACGGTCGTGATCCTGCTGATGAATCTGGACACCGAACACAATCACACAGCCATGCTCGCACCACCAGCGTCGTCCACACGGGCAAGCTCGGGCAGCACCGCGTATCAGATGGTGTATATGCTGGCTGCGACGGGAGGCCTGGAAGGAATGTACGCCGACGACGTCTCATTCCTGCAGGATGGCCAGTTCAAGGTGCTCCGGCTTGGTGCGGACGACAGCTTGCCAGACCTGACGCCCACAAAGGATACCTTTGGTCAGGTGAACATGCCGCCTCTGAGCTATGCGTTTGTGGAGTTGGACTCCAACGCAGCCACATGCAGTGTCTAACACTCCAACACAGCACTGATACTTTTTTCTTCTTCTTTTCTTTTTTTTTAACGATGCAACGCAATATTGTGGAAAGTACACAACAATAAGGGACAAGAGGAAAGTTTTACAATAATAATACAGCGCTGATAATCCAATGCAGTATATGCAGTAACGTTTGGTACCCAATTATCCCATTAATACGCTGTAACCTAATGTCACAAATGCACTTTCGCTGACTCTGGGTAATTCTGATTTCTTTTCTGAATAGATTTTTCTGATTTTTCAAACTTTTAGGAATCAATACCCCCATGATAGGGCAGGCCCGAAAATTTGGGGAAATGTAAATTTTAATTTGAAATCGCAGTGAAGAGGCCAGGCCGTTTTTGGAGTTTGCGGACAATTAGAAAAAAAATTCAAAACTGGTCACAAATTTATAGTGGTGACTGCTAGCCCATGGGCTCAGCATGGTCCACAGGTACTAGGTGTGAGGCACTACAATTCATGTGATGTGAGAGCTGTGAAGATGACATGGGAGATTAGTTGGGAGATGACGAGGTGGGGGGGGGGGGGGGAGGGAAGGGATGCGCCATGAAGATGTGCACAAAGCTATGTCCTCCGCTCATTGGAACTTTCCGCACCTGAGCCTTCCAGTTAGTTGGAAGGTTGTTGGCTTGCGCTTCTTAGATGTGTTGGAGCTACATGTGCATGTGCATGTACATGTAGGTGTCAGGCCGTCGAATGTCTCAATATCTTTGTCAGTTTTGTGCCTCGTTGTCGCACTATCTGACTGTATATTATCTCGTTACCTTGGTGGACTGTTAGTCATAACGCCTCCTAATCGTATAGGTTCTTTTCTCACACTTGGGTTGAGAGGAATCAAAAGCGCTTCTGCTGTAACTCTGAGTTTCACGGTTTTAACCGATCATCAGACAACAACTTGACTACAATGTTCCGAAGGTATGACTGATATAGGCTGCAAGCTTGGATCAAGGCGCGAATGAATGATCCTCGTTAAAAGTGTGATCCTAGGTCCTTTTCTCATTGCTTATTTTCACTCGGTGTGTTTACTCAATCTCCGTACAGCATGCTGTTTCCACCTTGTTAGGTCCTCTCAGCGGAGCTCAGAGGTACTGCCCGAACCGATCGCAATGAATTGTCTAATGAACAACAAAGGCGTTGTTTAAACCAGCTGAGCCGCTCAACGCTCTAAAGTCAGACTCAGAGTGCCGCCGCTCAAACTGCGATAAACACAGCAAGCTTTGCACCAGGGCAGACAACTTTAACGCTAACCAGAAAACGTAGATGGTTCATTCTGCCCGCGTCTGTACTACTACGTATGAAATTGATAATGTTCACTATAAATAATATTGTTTTACACCATCTCTACGAAAGCTAGCTGTTTCCAACGTGAAACCCTGTGGAACCTGTCTAAGACGACCGCTCAAGGGATTCTCAAAACCTGGTCTCTGTTACCAGGTGGTCTCCTGATCCAGGGTCATTTGAATGGAAATAGCACCCACTGGTTCTGGTTGCAGTGGTCTTCTGGGACAGATGGTCGCCTTATCCGTACCGTGTGGTCGCCTTGACAGGTTTTACTGTATCTCTTCAGTGCAGCTGACAGAGTCACTGCCTCACTGGCGGAAGTGATCGCAATGCAGTCTCGCGAAGAACAAAGCATTTGCAAAACGTCTCAAATCATCCAAGTATTTAAAGAGTTCTCCTGGTCTTCTCCACACGCGAGAAACAGTGCGAACTTTGCACGAGGGCATGACACACTGTTTCTCACTGTCTATGTATAATAATATCATGCCTGCACCACAACATCTGGGTAGCTAATTGACGCTGTGGTGCGGTGGTTGATGATAAAGCTATTGACCCATCAAGTATCAACTTTTCACGCCTGAGCGTCTACTCAACCATCTGCATGTAGGCAATGCAGTGGTGGCAAGGATCAACGCTCCACATCCAGCACAGTGGCCATCGCCTTCTCCATACGACTGCATGCATCTAGTGCACTGGTTAAAGCACGTCAGATAACTGATAAGTCATTAAAGGGGAAGTGCATCGATTTTTCAAGTAGGGCTCAGATGAAAGACAATTGGATATCGATTCCGATGGTATATCTCTCGCTTGCATACGGCAAGGGAAACTTGCCATATCGCCGATTTCCTGATCCCGTTTCCATGGCGACTACAGGTGATGACGCACATTCTGCTTAGCTCCGTGAGAGAGAAGGTCGATCACTGCAGAATTGTGTCATTTTCAGTTGTCTTCTTGTATTCACGAAGTGAAAGAAGTACTGTGTTCAATGCTGTTAGTGCCGTGAACTGTTTATTAGTAGTCCTCTCCGTTGTGTCCTGGGACGTGACACCGACAGGGGAAAGCTGGAGTGCGGAGATGTTAGCTGGCAAGCGAAAATCGTGACGAACCAAGTGCTGAAATCTTGGTTGGGACAAATCAAACATTCAGCATTTACCTCAACCAAGGACCATGCCGTTTGCTCTTTCCACTTCCTGAAGATGGATGCGCTGCCTGCTGGAGACTCTCCTATCTCTCGTAACAACTTCTGGAGCCAGGTGAGACGACGAGTAGTGGAGATTAGCGAACGAAATAATGTCGTATGTTTTGAAATTTTTTCTGAACATTTCTCAGGAGAGATGGCGAATACCAAGCATCTTCTCCTAGTCTAGAGAAACCATTTCGTAGGCTACATTCCGCCTAGGGAAATGGCTGGGGAAGACATACTTGGAGGAGAACGAAGTAAGTGATCTTCTTTATGTTGTTCTTTGGTATTGCAATCTTATGTTTGACGAATATACGGCATGGTGCATAGTTGGTCGTTGAGTGCCTGCACGTGCATGTATAAGTGTGTGCTGATAAACACTTCCTATGCAAGAATCTGACACTCATGCTCTCTTTCTTTCTTGCAGTAGGTGCGCACATGTGTGTGTGTGTGAGAGAGAGAGAGAGAGAGAGAGAGAGAGAGAGAGAGAGAGTGTGTGTGTGTGCAGGAGCAGCGTGGAGCATGCCAGTGTGATCGCTGTGGCCGTTGCTTTCTTAGCTGTGGCGTTCTTGCCCGTCACAAGTGTGTGGCTCAGCCCCCAACGACAGTGGGGCCGTGTTGTGGTGAATACTGTGTGTCCTGCGACCGCTGCTTCCGTTCAGTCCAGGGCAGGAATAGACACCGCTGCTGAAGCTCTCCCTGGCCGTACATCAGTCTCGTGGCAGATGACCCGAACTCTCATTTTGTGTGTGTGTGTGTGTGTGTGTGTGTGTGTGTGTGTGTGTGTGTGTGTGTGTGTGTGTGTGTGTGTGAGGTGCATGTATATGTATGTGTGTTGCTCCCTACGTAGCCGGACAAACTCTTGTTTTTGTGTCCCGGGCGCCATGGGGCGGCGTTCTCCCATTCTCTCTCCACTGCCCCTCCGGGCCCACGTGGCTGTGACTCGACAGGGCAGGGCAAGTGTGTGTATGGCACATGGTGTGTGCTGGCATGTCTGTATAAATATGTTGGACAGGAATTTGTTCACCCACAACGTTGACGGAAAACCATGCTAGGTATTGCTGGAATGTATAGAGTCTGCGAGCACTAACAATAACTTACGTCATGTCACAACAAAGAACGGTGCAGTGTTTGACCCTCAAGCATCTATTGCCCGAACTTCTTCATATGAAATGAACAATACCCTTCTCCATAGAGACAACATGCAGATGAAGTGTATGGACGAATAATATATAAATAGGCCATTCACTGAGGGCATGGAATGATCTCTACGTGTAGATTGGATAGACACATGCACGTCTGCAAGGAAAGCATTTGTTCATGGGTTAGTTCACAGGTTCATGGGCTGATTGAGTTCACATGGACTAAGTTCATTATGCCATCTCTCCTGTGATATGTAAAACATACGACATTATTTCGTTCGCTAATCTCCGCTTCTCGTCGTCTCACCTGGCTTCAGAAGATGTTACGAGAGATAGGAGAGTCTCCAGCAGGCAGCGCATCCATCTTCAGGAAGTGGAAAGAGCAAACGGCATGGTCCTTGGTTGAGGTAAATGCTGAATGTTTGATTTGTCCCAACCAAGATTTCAGCACTTGGTTCGTCACGATTTTCGCTTGCCAGCTAACATCTCCGCACTCCAGCTTTCCCCTGTCGGTGTCACGTCCCAGGACACAACGGAGAGGACTACTAATAAACAGTTCACGGCACTAACAGCATTGAACACAGTACTTCTTTCACTTCGTGAATACAAGAAGACAACTGAAAATGACACAATTCTGCAGTGATCGACCTTCTCTCTCACGGAGCTAAGCAGAATGTGCGTCATCACCTGTAGTCGCCATGGAAACGGGATCAGGAAATCGGCGATATGGCAAGTTTCCCTTGCCGTATGCAAGCGAGAGATATACCATCGGAATCGATATCCAATTGTCTTTCATCTGAGCCCTACTTGAAAAATCGATGCACTTCCCCTTTAAGTAGCATACTACATGTACTAGTACTAGTAGTACTAGTCATATGGACAAACAAAATGGGTGCCTTATTATTATTATTATTTTTCTGTTTCTGTTTTAATGACAGTAAAGTATTTAGTTTATTAGGCGGGTTACAGAACTATCGACTTATCGTTCGCTGGCTTACTTGTAGTTTGATAACGCTTCGCTCTTCATTGAGATATCTACCATTCTCTCTTTTTTCTCCTTATTTTCTTCCCAACCCTCCTTCATTGTAACATAATAACATATTCGCTGCCTTGTCATTGAGCATTTGTGCTCGTTTGGATTTGCGAATTCAAATAAAGTATACATACATACATACATACAGGCCGAAAAAATAAAATACAAAAGATGAGGGACATGCATGTGAGCCCATGGCCCAGCGTCCAGTGGCGCTCGTATCGGGCATGCAGCATAGCGAGAAGACGACCATGCGTGAAGTGTGAAACAAGTAATGCCTATCGTGTCAAGGTGTCCTGCCAGCTCGGGTCCACGCAGTCCAATCTGGGAACCGTCGGTGATACTATGCCTGGCTGTAGTGTAGAGAGCAACAATCTTAGGTGTGATGCATTCTTGGGGATGCGCACAATTGAGCACATTTGGTCTGGCGTGCTTATCATTAGTGTCAGCAACATAAGCTTGCCTCCAGCCAAGATAAATAATTCACCAGCGCCTTGCGACCAGCTTGACGGCATGGAAGCTCACTTTGAATCCTCGGTATCCGATCGTATGTTTGCAATGTTGGCCCAGGAAAACAGCAGGCTTTTCCTTTGGAGTTAGTTGCAACTTACTTCAACCCGTGCACCCTTCATGGCGCTGGTGATAACGCTAAAAGAAAAAAGCGAGGTTAAGATGCACGTTCTTTCTGACGTGATGAGCAATTTCAAGTCAAATTTGGCGTAAAACTCCTAATTTCGAGGTGAGCTGCTGGTCACTCGCGTTGATTTCCAACGCGCGAGTTAAATAACGCGACCTGAACTTTCGCGTCATGTCAGACATAACGTGCATCTTAACCAGTCCTCTCTATTGGTAACGTTCAGCCCATAACTAGCAGCCTCTGGCACTTCCAACGCATCGATTGCTAAATGTATGGATATTGACCATTGGATGTGAAAAGAAAACGTTCTGGAAACAAACTAATTCTACTTTGCTTTGTGACAGGGTGTACTACTCCCTGCTAGAATGTTTTCTTTGCACACACAATGACTCGTGCTTACTATTTTTAGCAGGGAGTAGTACAATACCGTTATTAATGTACTACTCCCTGATTTTTAGTGAAGTCTTTGGAAGGTTTGTAAATTATTATAGGTAAGGATTTGGTGATCATGATGTGTGATCCTCCGACATCTAGTCTATCCGAGCTACTGTCTGTAAAAACGACTGACCACCAACACAGTCATGTACATGTATGTGTACGTAGACGGAAAGCTTTTTGCTCTCAGAGTCATAGCCATAGCCCAGCTACATGTCCATGTACATGTCCTTGGATGACATGTAGCATCATGAGTCTAACACGTCTTTTAAAATTATTATTATGAACGTGCACATGCCTACATTATACTTTGCGAAGTAAAATAAAGAATACAATACAATACAAAGAATGGAAGAGAACAACAACATCAGCAAGAGAACATAGGGTATATCCGTCTACGTTGCATCGCGCATCGCTAACTAGAGACGATGTGAGACTGACGCCATCTTATACTCGTGTGCCTTGCAGTCTACACGGTGGCAAACCTGGGATTGCTTTCGATTCCTCAGCTCTCCATACAAGACAGCCCAGATACTGATCTCAGTTGGAGTTGAGAAACGCCGGGCTATGTGCTGAATGCGTACCAACATGCCAATACATGTACTTGCCAATAGCTTAGGTACTCGCAAACACTCTGCCCGAGTTCTATATCCATTCAAAACAAATAGGTTCCCTTCACCCAGTGAAGAGGGCCCAACACAATAATATGGATCACAAAACACAGAAAACGTATAAAGCCCAATCGCCTGATGATTGCGCTGAGCAAGAAATTCGGCGTTGCGCCAAGCTCTACAAACCTCCTTCATGCCTTTTGTGTGTCCATTCAAACCACACCACCACAGTATCAGCAAAGGAACAAGTATATATACATGTATTTGTTGTTTCTCTAGGCTGTTCACCAATCTTCTGACAACAATGATGATGATAGGGGCAAGTGCATAGGACTATCGGAGAGGAGCGGGAATAAACAGGTGGGGCAATTTATTTAGCTCAGGAGATGGCTCTGCCCTCGAGCCTCGTGGGTATGGAGCACTCTCTTTGCAAGTAAAACAGTAACGTAGCTTGTACAGTGTATCTTGCAGGGGACAGCCTCACACGTATACTTTCCCTCCCTCAGTGATCGACGTCAGACTGTGAGCTGCAATGTACATTGTATTCACCGCTGCGGGTGGATCCTGCAGGCGTACACATGCCGTATACCCAACTGTGAGCGGCCGGATTGACAGACTCACTATCTGCCTCAAAACAATCAAGGCTGAGCAAAAGGAGAAAGAAACACAATTCGGTTTAGCTGACAAAAATTCACATGAAACAATACAGTCATTATATTTTGTGAGCGGTGATGAGTAGTTCCCTATCGGTATGGTGACTACAACAGCCGTTGCTTATGATCTGCTCGCTTGAGCAGCCGCGTACTGGTATGGCGGAACTTGTGCCTGTGTTTGTATGCGCGTGCGCGTGTGTGTGCGTGTGTGCGTGTGTGTGTGCGTGTGTGTGCGTGTGTATATTAATATGTGTGCGTACATGTATGTGTAGGCTTATTGGGTTATTGATGTGTGTATGTGTGCGTGTGTGTATGTGTGCGTGTGTGTGTGTGCGTGCATGTATGTGTGTATGTTTTGTGTACATGTGTGTGTGTGTGTGTATGTGTGTGTGTGTGTGTGTTTGTGTGTGTGTGTGCGTGTGTGTGTGTGTGTGTGTGTGCGTATGTGTGTGTGTGTGTATGTGTGTGTATGTGTGTGTATGTGTGTGTGTATGTGTGTGTGTTTGTGTTTGAGGGGTAGGAGGAGGAGATTACCTCAACGCATGTTTGGATTGTTGCATGAACATTTTCCTCTAGTTTCTTCCTCATTTCCGGCCACTATGTCTGCTACTGTATTCACTTCGTCTTGGGGGTTAGCCATGGGGACTTTGCCGTACGGGGACATGAGCTTGCCTCTCAGCACCAGATTCATTTCCTCCTTGCCTGTTTCCGCGGCGTGATGAACGTTGTATTTCCTTCCAAGAAGAGAAGATGTCCAGTCGATGTGTGTGCACCACTGTGCGTGGGCCCGTCGTATACCCAACAATCACTCTAGCCACTAGCAGAAGCATGTCAGTATTGCTGTCCGTATTGCTGTCCGTATTGCTGTCAACTCTGAAAAGAGTCTTTAAAGAGGCATTAGCTTCACGTCGAAAACAACGGTTGGTGGAGTTGCTCGCAGTACGTCGGCATATCATTAGCTTCACGTCCAGAACAACGGTTGGTGGAGTTGGTCCCAGTACATCGGCATGTCGTCCCTACATTAGTCCTGGGCGGATAGTGCCGGCAGAAAATTTGCTGAATTGGGTACCTTTTCTGATATGTGTGATGCATTCTTGTTATGTAGATAAATAAATGGAACAGAATTCAAGAAAGGGACTGCCATTAGGTTTGTACGGTCATGTACTCGAAGTAAGTGTATGCCAATTTTTCGAGCAGTATTCGTCATAGGCTATCCTGCATCCTCATTTGTTTTGTTTTATGCTGCTCTCCACGTGGGCCTAGGTTGAGCTGTTTTCATAGCTTTTAAAAACACAAACACGTCAACGCTGCGAAGACGAAGAACGGCATTACCAGATAACATGCGCGGTTGGGGAAGCACTGAAAATCCCCATATGCCCACCATGCGTTAGGGACAAGCCAGGAGTCCAGAGCACAGTCATGCAGCTCTCTTAGTCTTAGTCTTGGTGACTTGAGCGCCAGTGCAGCACCGTGGTACTGGCCTGCGGTACTGGCCTGTGGTACTGGCCTGTGGTACTGGCCTGTGGACTGTGGTACTGGCCTGTGGTACTGGCCTGTGGCACACTGAGGCTGTGGTACTGACCTGTGGCACACTGAGGCTGTGGTACTGACCTGTGGACTGTGGTACTGGACTGTGGTACTGGCCTGTGGACTGTGGTACACTGAGGCTGTGGTACTGGCCTGTGGTACTGGACTGTGGTACTTGTAATAGGTCAGTGTAACTGCTTCATAATCTGCATTTTCTAATCGCCGACGCCGGTCGCGACCGCATCCAGACTTACTACGCGAATACTCTCTACAACTGATCGAGAATTCTACCTGAGCTGTACCTGGCTGTATATGTATTAGAATTGTTTTAGCTCCCAGACTCTGTACTGTGCTAGTGATGGTCAGTGCCTGCCGTCACTACAGAGATCAACGAGTTACGTTCACCTAACCAATAATGTATGTGCGTGTGTAGTTGTACTTGAACGGCCTTGGCGCAGTGGTGCAGCTTGCTAGCTGCCAGGTAGAGTCCTGCTGCTGCTGCTGGCGGTAACGGCCGCGTTACCGATCATGCACGCCGGTAGGCTACCCCAAACCAGTGCTCTACTGGGTCACACTGGGTGTTCATAAGCCAGTGCAAACTGGCCACAGACCTGACTACTACTAGCACTTTGCCAGCAGTAGATCAAGCTAGCCTGTAGCGTAGACTTTGAGTTTGTTTACTCTGGCAGAGCTTACCACCAATCCCTAGGCGTGAGTGTGAGCAGACTACTAGCAGTGCTCTCTGTAAAGAGACAGGAGATTGCTGCTGGTCAAGGAGCCGACATTCAGCAGGTTACCTTCCTTCAGACATGATGGAGTTGTCCAGCAGAGGAGGCGTTGTATGTGTTCTGGACACGCGATGGCTACCCTTAGTGTTGCTGACTGTAATGTCAAGTCTAGGGTTAAGCGCGGAGGCTGGTCAATGGTCCCCCTGGTCTTCTTGGACACCCTGTTCTGCAACTTGCCTGCCATCAGCCACGACACTATCCTTGTCTTCCTCTGCGAGTGTAGTAGCTGGCACCCAGCAGCATCGCTACAGGGTTTGCGATCCGCGTAGCGCTCTGTCCCCCTCCGCTACAGATGTCATGGGTGATCCTCCACTGGCGGCTGTCTGCCCGCCTGGAAATGGCAGTGAGACCCGACAGTGCGTTGGCCTTCCAGAGTGCAAAGGAAAAACTCCAGGTAAGCGATTTACGATTTTTAAGCCTGGAATGCTATTGGCTGCTGGTGTGAACTCAAGGAATGCTGCCACATTTTCCTGATCGAATTGTGTAGTTTAGGGAGGGTGTGTGTGAATGACTTGTATGTTCTAATTAAGTTTAAAACTCGGGATTTGTCGGAAGCCAAGGCGCTGGGATGCGGGCCGTGACATCATGAGAATGACAGGTTACACCTGGGCGAGAGAGACACCTCCCCCCCCCCCCCTGAATATCGCAAATAATGCAAAGCGCCCGTTATGGTTTTCCGAATCATGTGTGATAGAGTGACGAACGAACGGGTACCGTTTTTCATCGAAAAATCTCCCGTAATGATGCAAAGCCTGGTCGTATCCACGGTAGAATGGTTTGCTTCGCGCCCAAGCATAGTCTCACACGATCACTGTTCTTAGCACCGTCGGTTAAGGTACATGTACTCGCATGATAATGATAATGATCAGAAATCAAGCTTTGTTGGAAATGGAGCTTGCCCATAATAGTTCATATCAATTGCGATAGGGTAGAACTACTAGCTACGTCGCTGTGTCTGATATCGCCTGCTCTTTTAGCTGCTCTCTCCTTCCCTCTCTCCCCCCTTCTCTCGCGCACACACACACACATTCCCCGTGGTCGGTATCGCATATCAATTATACGGTCGCAATGAGGCGTATAGCGAGTGCGTGTACGTTCTCACAAAATACCAAAATTTCTCCCTTGTCACGGAACGCACCTCTTGGCCACAGCCGTTCAGCCATGAACCACGCAACATGATAATAGATTTGTAGCACCAATCCTTCACTCTTCAGTAGTGGTGTGAATTGTGCGCCCATTGTAGCGGCCAGCATGGGCTAGTGTATGTACACGCACGTGAACGTGTGGCAGCCATGTTCACAATTCCCCAGAAGTACCAACGGTTAGTTTAAAGCGTCCAACTTACTTACTGTCTTCCACGATGTGGAGTACTCGTGATGGAGACAGTTGTAGTTGTGCAGCAAAGGCCACATGTATGTTCCAAGCCAGCCAAGGCGCGTAGATGTGTAGCCAGCACCGCTCCCTAGCACTAGTCTGTTAGCTGAAGCAAGATGCAGGTTCTGATAAAGCCACACGATGGGCAATGAGCTGAGGCTAGCAATGCTTGCCTGAACATCGCCAACTGTTAGGTAACGTTGACTGTAGTCGCAGCAATATCCATTGTATTGTGTCGAACAGCTGCGCAGTGGATTGGCGTTTTGAAACGGCCATCTCCATCTCACGCGCTCGCCCTTGCACAGAAAAAGTTTGAGCCTTGAGGCAAGAATCGCACTTCATCACCTCCGGTAACTCTACAACTGTGCAAGCAGCACTCACAGTCTATAGTGGATCGGGCGGCGGGTTAATTTTAGCCACCTCGGCAGAGCGATTAGAACATCGGTGCCATGAAGTGACGCTCTTGCTCTTATCTTGGTCGAATGGAGGCTGCTAAATGTACGTGTACAACGCTACAGCCATGCATACCATGACCATAGGCACGGCTACTAGTAAGCTGTCGGCTGTGGCGCCAAATTTAGGAAACAAATACGCAGAGTAAACAACATAATTATTCAAGAAGTTGGACCATTTCCACAGCATAGTATGAGCGCACACACACACGTGACAAAAACTCGCCAAAAAGTCGCAATAACCTCTTCTTTAAAAAACCTCGGGCCGGTACGAATTTTATCCATTCAACCTGCCGAAACGTGCGTTGATGAATAGAAAGAGGCCAGTGTGCATGTACATGTACTGTGGGTCGCTGTTTATGTTGGAGGCCTGATCAGTGAAGACGGATGCTCTGCAATAATCTCCCGCCCATGCGTTAAATTTCTAAGACATGATTGTGTTAAGACATGCAATTGTTGCTACATGTATTATGTAGCTGCTTCAGTTGAATTTCATTCATGCCCGTCAAAGTCACGTGGTTGCACAATTTGTGCAAATTCTTTCGTTGGGGCGACTCTCCAATCTCCTGTTTACACATGATCCCGTGACCGGATGAATCCCTGCGCTGAATGTGTCGGAGGCGCTTTTGCAGTATGGTTGTTTTAGCTGTTCGATAGTGAAATGTTAGTCTTTACAAGTCACGTAGACGCCCTGGGAATGAAAATTTCATTCTCCACCCCCCCCCCCCCCCGCGTCTGAACCGACATCTTGAAATTCATCAGAAGGAATGGTCTGTTCATGAGGTGCACCTGATAAGCAATGTTTTCGTTGCTGACGTCGGAACACAAATCAGATCTTGTTGGCAACTTCACCTACATGTACGTGAGTGTATGGTTCATCAGAAAATCAACCTCTGGCTGAACTCCGGGTAAGCTGTTGGGAATTCAAATGGGATGATCTAACCACCAGTACCATGGACATTTTACACAGTGACAATAGTGGTGCTGCTGGGACGCTTCAAGGTAACCCTGGTTACTACTTGTACATGTGCATCGCGCTCTCCACAGCATAGTATGATGGTACATTGTAGAATAGTGCATGATGTGTGCCCTCCTCTCTTGATGGAAAACAGTCACATACTACGTATTGCGTTCACGCTCGCTTGTAGACCGCTTGCTTGTTGCTGTCGCCAAACTCCTCTGATACGCTCTTATCCTGAGTATGTCGCAGTGACGTAAGAAGACCAGAAGGCATCCGACAGACTCGGTACTGGTAGCCTCCGTCAATGTGTTGCCGCATAGCAGTGGCCCTCTTGTCGCTAACGGAGCTTTCCCGGGCTCAAGTAACAACGACGCTACTACGTTCGTTTCCACTTTCAAACCAGCCCCAGTGCAAAACATGACAATGAGCATAACCAACCGCTGGTTCCTGGGGGGGGGGGGGGGGGGGGGGGGGTGCAAAAAGCATGCGACAGAGTAATGTACAATGCACGTTGAGAGGCTTGGTAAACACGATTTTTGATGTTTTCGGTCTACACAAGAGAGATTGGAAGCTCTGTCACAACTCTGAGTTTCACGTATTGCTACGATCATCCGGCAACTGTGTTTTCGGTCTAACAATGCAGCTGAAAACACTTGAGTGCTGCAGTTTCTCTGAGTGCTGAGAATTGGTATGTGATCAAATTCTTCGCAGGGCTTCAATGCCAACAACGCATCGTGCGTGAAATGAGCACTGATGACATGATGATAAACTCACTTCAGGCAGCGAGCCGTGTGATTTCCACGACGCCTCAAACAACAAGAGTATCACGTCGTCTAGCTGCGAAAGGGTCGTTTAGACAATTCGCCAAGCACCTCCAATCAATTAGGAGCTGTCCTAAATCCCTCCGAAACCGCTGCCATTGACCTCCGATTAGTAAAGCGAGATGACCATTCGCACATACTCACCCATTACAGTTCAGGAAGACCCAATCATGTCGGAGATTTCGACTTGACGGCACTACAAGTGCAGATTAAGACGCGGCGGTTAAACGCTCTGCTCGAGAGCTCTGCATCGAATCCTACTCCCTATCACATAAGACACTACATCTGCACAGTGCAGTGTGTGCGTGTTTCCTCCTGGACCCGTGATTGCGTTTCGCTGGTCGGGCAGCTTCAACCCAACACCAAATATGGGACAGATAAACAATGATCATTGCGATGTACAGTGATTTCCAGCGCAGGAGCGGTGGCGACATGCTGCACCCTTTGCTGATGAAGTTGGTATTCTGGAGAAACGATTATCCTTCGCCAATACATGTGCATCCATTCGTTAAAACTGACAGAATCAGGTGTGAGGCTGATCAAACTTTGTCGACCAACACGTGTGAGGTGACAAGGTTACCAGGGACAAAGGACATCAAGGACCCAATCAAGAACCTACGCTCCCTACAAACATGGTATGAAACGCACAGCAAATAGACAGTGTCACTGTCAGTATTCGAGACCAGTTTCCGCCATACATTACATGGAACATATTAGACTAGGGTGCACGCAATCGTGGAATTTGCCAGTTTTTCCTGAGACTATGAACTATCTATGGTAAAGGCACACTCTCACTCTTTCTCTGGCCTGTTACTCATTCTCGCCGGAGAACGAATACTACCCCCCCCCCCCCCCCACACACACACACATACATGTACATGTACACCGGGCACATAGCTACTCCATCTTGTCCAAGCGGTATGCAAGTAACTTAACTGAGTTCGTGCCATTCTCCAAAAGGCAACCTTCGTGGCAGGCGCACGTGTTAACAATGACAGTTGCCTCCAGTCAAATGGACAGACACAATCAGCTGCCGTATAGAGATGTTCATGTACAGCATCCATGTTCATACGCAATGTATGTTTTGTACTGTCAAGGACAACAACTGTCTGTCTGGGTTAGGGTTGGCGACGTGGGCGAGGATTCTTGGCTTCTTGTTTGTTAGGGAACACCAGGGCTACACCCAAGACACGTATTGCTAAAACTTAAACTGGCACAGGGAAAGGCAAGACGTTCAGTAAGAGTAAGTTTCCGACTTCGCATACAGACCGCGGGAACTGATCAGAAAAAGACACACATAGTTTGCGTGTGACTCTGTTAGCCAGACCAAGTTTTCGCAACCGTGGGAACGCCATCACCCGCAATGATCAAGGCGCATATGCAGCTCCTAAAGCGGAGAACTGGTCAAGACTGAGTGCCAATAATATTTTATTGCATTTCTCCAGTGGTACACGTGACCCCTCCCCCCCCCCCCCCCCGCCCCCCCCCATTCATTTCGTAGCAAATGAACGAGGTATTGGGTGTTACCCAGAACTGTACGTTGTATCGCCAAGAGTCCAAGACCCAACAGTGTCCTCGCATTGGAACACAATACCAAGCACAGTGTGATGCAACGTTACATATACATGTACATGTACAATCATGTACATGTACATGTATATGGGAATTCCTGACGTGCGTATCCCGGTGTCTAGTGTTTTTAGATGCTGCCGCAGGGACTGAAGGCGAAATGGCTTCCCCAGTACAGTCAGCAGCACTTGTCGTTATGTAACATTCCAGACTAGTACTCGTGTACATTGTTTACCATCATGCTTATACTGTTTACAGTTACCTACTGTTTACATACATACGCACACTCGCACATGGATTTTGTACTGATGTGAGCAACAGCGTAACTCTATGTGGGTTCGGAAAGGTGAAATTCAACTACTTTTGCAATCGTGGGGACGTCCAAGTAGACATCACTTTAAAAAGCTTTCACAGCTAGCTCAGGTATGACGAACCGCTGACCCTCTCAACTCCAGCCAAGAAACAAACAAAATTGAAACAAAAATAGCACACATGAATAATGTACATTTGTTGTACATGTAGCGGTATACATGTATGTGTATTGTATGCAATCATGTCATGTACTAGTATGTGTATATGTACATTGTGTTCAGTGTGCATAGCCCTCGTCTGACCATGGCACGGGCACGGGCATGGGCATGGTCTCACATAGAGTACCACAGTGCTGAATGAATGTTCCGGCCACTTGGACACCGATTGCCAGCGTGTGACTCGACCTCTCAGGAAACTATGGACGTTCTGAGATCTGGCAGCCCATCTAACGTTCCTCTCATCAGCGAATGCCTATCGTATCCTGCACATCTACAGTCAGTGTACAAGTACAGTCAACAGTCAACTTCGCTTATAACGACACTCGGCGGGGCATCAAAAACGTGTCCTTATTCGCGAAGTCTCATTGTGTATTACAGTTAGATGAGACTTTGCTCTGGGCATGGAAATTCTGTCGTTATTCGCGAATTGTCGTTATATCCGCAGTCGTTATTAGCGAAGTTGACTGTACCTACATTGTAATGTAGAACAAAATCATCATGCAGTCGAGTAGGCTCAGCACAAGATGTCAGCATTCGTTCAGTGGTCAATGCAATGACCACACACTAAAAGCTAAGCTCTGAAAAACCTGTAACAGCCTTTTAAAAATTGTAGACCCTGATGGGAACAAAGTTTTGAGCAAGCTTTCAAACTTCCTCCGTCAGCCACATTGACATCATACTAGCAACGATTGTTTGAATTACTTTCTGGATAAATGAAATCGGCTACCAACCGCAGTAGAGATGCTTCAATTCAGACCTGGAGCCAGTTCTCTTCAGTTCTCTTCAGCCAGGTTAGTGATTATTCACTCAGGTAATCATGGCGCTGCACGTTGAACCTTCCGACCACTGTGTCAGACGTACTAGACGCAACCAGCCCCTTCCTGTCCACTGAACTGACGTGGTGGTGGCGGTGGTGGTCCGTAGGTGCTGTTACGCGTCTATCACCATCTATCTCATGTTCATTCACAGCAGCATGCGTCGCAGTGACATTTGCACTGCCACTGCCTCAAACTCACCGTATAGTAGATCTACTGTCTGGATTCAGAGTCCTGGCCTTACCTACACTAGGCCGTTCTTGTTTTCATGTAGAAATCTCCATTATAATAGAGCCACCGTGCATATGCGGGTGCGGTGACCTGGTAAATTCTGGTAAATTCTAGTCTTTTCGTTCTTCGACGCACCGTTCTTCGGCGCCCGACACTCTGAGGCGACAGCACTGCAGCACTACAAACGTACAATGTAGGTGGTCTAAACAAGCTGCACACCAGAACAACAGAACAACACAACCAAACAGCCTATTGTAAGGCTATAAAAAAGTCTGTAACAACTGCAGATAGCTTCACCCGCACGTCAACGTGCCGTACTTCAAACACCGCTCCGCCGGCAGCACAAACGCGTACTGGCACTCAACATTCTCACTTGAACTGAGAAAATACGTTTACTTCAAGTATACTCACGCTTGTAGTACTCGAGATGAGCTTTATTTGTCTCGGTGGTAATCCGTGGCAACCACCACCCTCTCCCTACTAAGAGACACAAAGATCCTGAGTTGCCGCCGTGAAGTAACGACCAACGTTCTCACACGTGCTAGCAGTGGTGTCAGCGCTAAGATCTCGACCAAACGCTTGTTGACCTGGACGAGCGGAAGCCACTGGACACGACTACAAGAACAAGGAATCGTCCTTTGATCCCGTGCCTCGTGTAAGAGGAGTAAGAGGAGTCAAAAATAGATTTCAGCAAACTGCGAACGTGCAAGTGTAAGTTCTGCTGCGAGGGGAGGGAAACAGCCATGCCTTCGCGAAAGAAAAACACCCCGAAAAGAAGGGTGGTTGACGGCGTGGTGGCGAATATTCTGAGCACATTGGGCAAATTTGGACCTTCTGGAGACGAAATCTTTAGCAGCTGCAGTCAGCAGGGACAGTGCCAGTGTTTCGCACTAAAGACACCCATATTTTCTATCCAACAGGCTACGTGGCTACTATGGCTACCTATGTTGTCCATTCCATAATGGGTTGGTCAGGGAAATGTCTTTGTTTTGTAAAAAGAATCAACGACTACATAATTGTAGAATGTAGGGGCGTAGATCAAGAAAGAATGCTGGGAATGCTTGTTGGGAAATTGTCGCTTGGGCAGTTGTCCCAGTTCAGTTGTGGTCGTGTAGCCAGGACAAGCTGATGCAGACAATGCAGGTATAAACCGGCTGTATGGCCTATACATGTACATGTAGCTACGGCAGCCAGTGTTGCAAGGCAGGTATTTCTCACGCCAGTCACGGGTCACAGCAGTCAGCAGGGTAGAATCTACATTGTACATGTACAGTCAATGAGTCATGTAGTTTTTCAACGTTACTATTCCCTGGTTCACACAGACCACTCGCGTAGACTCGTAGATCTACTCTGAACCAGGGAGTGGTAGAGCAAAGTACAAAGTAGATCTACATGGCTGTACAGTGCACTGCACTACTCCCTGCATGCTGTAGTCTTAGCCCTGAGCCTAGACTGAAAGGTCAAAGTTCATGCTGCGAGCTTCTCGGCATGCATGCAGCAGTGATGGCAGGCATATCCATGCAGTATAGTAGATCTACTCGCCGAGTATCGAGTGCGGTCTGGAGACTGCACTACACCACAGGGACAATACCAGGCGTCGCTGGAGCACACAGTGCACTCACTGCAAACGTACACGTATCTCTTCACTGCAGTGATGGGCTATCAATCAGCAATCAACTGCAAGGATATCGACATCTGACATTGATGCAGCAGAACGAGGCTTGGCTGAATCCGTCCGTCCATTCTTTCCAAACGCTAACCCATCGGAAGTGATTGTTCTGATCCGCCGAGTGAACACACAACGGAAACCGGTTAGCTCATCTGGCCGCTTGACTGGAAAGGATGGGACACGGTGACCCAGAAGAAATCTTCCTATGCTCGTCGTCAAGCGGAATGGGAAAACTGATGATTCCATTTCACTGCCTGACATGCTAAGATCGGCAGTAATCAATAAAGTCCCCTGGAGGCGCCATGGCGCCATAGCTGAAGTATACCCGCTCAATCTTCGGACGCCGGAAATTTAAAAAAAAGCAAGTTCGATTCGGAATTTTTCTTTCCCTGGCCTTTCGCTAGCGCGACTGCATAATTATACCAAAAAGTTGCACTAACATTCTGAGTTTTTTTGCGAAACATCGATCCACGCCGCGGCTTGCAATAGCTAAGGCTAAGAAGTTAGAACGGACATGTATTTTCTCACCCCCACGGCCACGACTGTCGGCTGTCATGTCACACATGTCACACCTTTGACTGGGAACGCTTACAAATTAATGACCTGATCACGGCCTGCACTGGAAAGGTATTACAAAGCTGCTCTTGTGCGTGGAACCGAATGGCGAATAGTTACATCCGCAACCGAGGAATATGCTTGCTGTGGATTTCAAAAAGTCGAGTTGCAACTCGCCGTCCTTCGTGACATGTACTGTATTATGACGGCTGTGTTGGTCTTGATGTTGTCCTTCTTCAGCGCGCTGGTCGCCCTGGTCAAACTGGACGCCATGTATTCGACTGTGCGGCGGAGTAGCCGTCCAACGACGACTGAGAAATTGCCTGGGCGGATCCTCCTCAGCCTGCAGCGGACCTCTGTTCGAATCCAGAGACTGCACTGCCGAAGGCACCCCATCACGTGAGTCCGGGAGCTGAGCATGCACAAATGTCTCTCAAGTCTCATAGTCATAGCAACCTACTGCTAATATGTTTATGTTGATCACGGTATCATCTACGATCACGTGGTCACCAAGCGATAACAGGAAGTGAAGATCACATACCATGCAGTTTTGAGGTTGGCCAGTTTCTGGTGATCTTTTCAGCAGATTTGGATATTTGTATGTCATACAAATATCCAAATCTGCTGAAGCTGAGAAAACCACGTGAAGTGCACACTGCACGTCTGAAGTATGATCTGAACACAGGGATATAACAAATAGTTTTTCAATAAACAAAATAGTATTCTGCTTTCCTATGCTTTGCTGCAAACCTTGTTTTCAGCTCTGCGTTCGGGGCCGCATATCCACATGGCACGGTTTGTGATGGGCGAGAATAACCTGTATGCCATGGAGGGATCCACGGGTGTGATTGTCTGCTGTGCCGATCTCACTGACAATGACGTAGAGCTCAAGATATTCCATCGCCGATCACAGCTGGTGAACGACTCGCTGACATCGGTAGGTGTAGACTGTAGGAATATGTGTGCCATCCTTGCGTGGCATGTGCTTGCCGGAATATTTGTTCCAGTACCATGATTGTGGCCAATGTTGCGGCCATTGTCTGTATCATGCGAATGTGTAGATGTGTGTAGTTATGAATATGTTTGTTATGAAGGCTTGCATTACTGTACCCATACGCTTTCCCTCTGAAAGCGCTCATGCTATGTCATGCCATGTATTTCTAGGTGCTGTTGACAGAGAAGAACTATGTGCAAGTGACAATATCTCCTCTCAATCTCAATCACAGTGGAGCGTATTCCTGCTTCACTCGTGATGATCCCAATCTAGTCTCAACGTCAAGTTCCATTTTCGGTGAGTTCCATTAAATTGACATCACCATGCAGATCAGAACTCTTTTTGCCCCCCCCTCCCTCTCTCTCTCTGTGTCTCTCTCTAGTCTCTCTCTCTCTCTCTCTCTCTCTCTCTCTCTCTCTCTCTCTCTCTCTCTCTCTCTCTCTCTCTCTCTCTCTCTCTCTCTCTCTCTCTCTCTCTCTCTCTCTCTCTCTCTCTCTCTCTGTCTCTCTCTGTCTCTCTCTCTCTCTCTCTCTCTCTCTCTCTCTCTCTCTCTCTCTCTCTCTCTCTCTCTCTCTCTCTCTTTCTCTCACTATTCTGTAGTCTTAATGGCAAGGTTGTGTTTGCAAGCAGTTTCAATAGTGTCCAATGCTCAGATGGGATTTGGAACTGGCAATGAGCAGTCTCTAAAGCGGCCAGTGCTGTATCCTGGTGGCCATGCATAGTCAACCACACTGTACGTTTGGTTTTGTTTGTCTGTGCATCTACTACAAGTATGTAAATAAAAGGGAGTTTGTCAACTGACAACCGTTCTATTCAGTTGCTATTCACTCTTGGCGCATGCGCTGGATGAAAAATTCTGTTAATTATTAGTGATGTCGAAAAATGTTGACATTTTTCATCCAGCGCATGCGCCAAGAGTGAATAGCAACTGAATAGAACGGTTGTCAGTTGACAAACCCCCTTTTTTAATAATTTTACAATGCAGTTGCGTGGTGTCCACCGCTATCTACCATGTAAGTGTTGAAGTTCAGAGAGAATCGAGCAGTGGGCAGTTGGCCAAATCTCCTCACTTAGAAAATCACCATTCTGTCCGAGCATGACATCACAACATTTTTGCACTCTGCTGACGTGTGCCTTTCTGTTGGCTGTGTTTTGACGGTTCATGTTTTTGTTTTGCGGCAATCTGATGTTTTCTTGTGTGCAGTACGTGCACTTCCAACAGTCCCACCGGGAAGTGGTGGCACTTTGGATGGCGGCATTACCGGACTTAACAAAACCAGTGAGGGAAAGCATGACACCGTCGTGACAATTGTACATTTTGAGAAGATTCTTACTTTTCTTTCCGGCACAAGCTAGGAATGCCCTCTTCGATGTTTCCTATGCATACATGTTCAGTTGCTCTTGCACCGCACACTTTCTTCCATTCCAGCAGCTGTCTGTGCACATGCACGCACACACCCAACACTACACCACACGCACAAATGCACGCATACTTACGCACGCACACACACACACACACACACACACACACACGCCCACACACACGCATACACACACACACACACACACACGCCCACACACAGGCACACACACACACACACACACACACACACACACACACACACACACACACATAGGGGACATTCCATCGTGCATAATGCTTCCTCAAATGACTGCATTACGTTGTTTGTCTCCATCAATACTGGATTGTGTGTACGCTCCGGGGATTCAGTTGCTTTAGGTATAATTATGTGAACATGAAAGAGAGTGATAATTCTCGCCCGTCAGAAGAAATTTAAAGAGAAGTCTAATTTATCTTCAACTGTTTATTCGGCTTGCAGATGGTGGTGATGGCAGCAATGGTATTGGCGACGGTGCTACAAACGAAAGTGATGACTTCCTAGTCATCATTATCCCCATCATGGCCTCAGTGCTCTTCCTGCTCATCCTGACGGGACTGCTCTGGTAAGATGAACACATTGCGAAATAGAACATATCCTACAAAAACACCATATTTTCCAGAGTTTAAGACCCTATGTTCTCTTCCTGTTGTTGTTATTGTTCTCTTCCATTCTATGTACTTGAAGGAGGCATGTGCACTTTCATAACAAAAAAATTAAAAAGCCGCACCACATTTTGTGCCACGAAATACAGTGCACCCCCCCCCCCCCCTAAAAATTTCGACCTAGGTTTAGCATGCATATAATGACCACGAATGACATGCACCTCAGTGTCATCCTACACATATGCGGCTATGCACCCGCTTAAGGGGGTGGGGGGTGGGGGGTGACCAGCTACGCCCCTGCTGATTATCACCTCCATTGTACCAGTACGTGAAACTCTGAGCCGCAGCCGCTGCTGAATTTCTCCCTCATTTTCTTCCTGTTGTACTTGATCCACGTGCTGTTGTTTGCCTGCTCCGACCCTGTCTGTCATACACAGTTTTATTCACCGTCGTCGTAAATCAGCCGGCCGTGGAGCACAGGCCGTCCAGTCCAGCAACCACATTATCAACAAGGTACTCAGACAGCGAGAGTTTGCTCTGCCAACAAACGCATGTTACTTTTCGCACTCCCTTTATGCATACTCGCATAGCCCCATCACGGGTAGCCGAATGCACACGCACTGGGCAAACCCGGTCAGAAAGAGAGCTTTTACTTCCTCATGTACAGTGCTGACAACTGAAATCCGACCGCTGAGCGATGCGTCCACATTCTAGCCGTCTCTATTTCGTACTTTTACTATCCTGTGTTGGGTCTTTGCGATGTGAGCGCACCGCCCAGGGGGTCGGATTTCAGTTCCCAACACTGTATGTATGTATGTATACTAAGAAAGTCTTGGACATCACGCAACTGCATCATCAAGAAAAGGTTTTTTTTGTCACACTGACAACCGCTCTGTTCAGTTGCTATTCAGTATTCACAATCGCCGCATGTGCTGGATGAAAAATTAATTTTATTCTGATGTGGAAAAAAATTATGACATTTCAGGCCAGTCAGCCATAGGCATATGCGGATAATGCCGGCAGAAAAATTGGCAGAATTCGGTACTTTTTCTGGTAAGTGGATAAAGAAATGGAACAGAATTCGAGGAATTGCCCGCCATAAGGTTCGTATGGTTCTGCCAATTTCACTGCTTTTCGAGCAGAATCTGCCACCTTTTCGAGCATTATCCGCCAATGCCTAGTCACCCATCACCAGAATGTACATTGTACGTAAAGTAACCAGAACCCATGACTACACCGTGACAACACCATGACAACACCATGACAACACCATGACTACACCATGACATAGGAAGAGGTTTCTAGAGCATACTTGCTCCTTCCCAACCACTCTGCAACACTCAAACTCTTTTACCAATCAATTTTTTTACAACGTTTCTGCAAAATTGCCCTCACCAGGCATGCAATGGCATGCAAGCTTGCAAAGGAGTAGTTATAATACCGTGGCAGCCTGCAAAAATCAAGATTTAAAGACACTAGCATGGACTAGCTCATTTCACGGGGGGGGGGGAGGAGGGGGTAGTTTGGGGTAGTTGGTTCTCCATCGGAGGTACCCATCCCCTGAACATTTTTTGCCACAGCATCGCTTGTCATTAAATTCACGTGTACCTGTAAGACTGTTGGCCATAGAGTGCCTGCTGACGCGAGATAATGCACAGCTTGTTGACAGCAGTAGCAGAGTGTATGATCATGTGTCACGGAGAAAGAGACTTGCTCTTGTTCTTGTCCTCCGTCCTACCACTAGACCTTGGCAGACAATGCAGGCAGAAAACAGGCAGCATTTGGTACTTTTTTGGTACGGCATATGGATAATGAAGAGGAGCAGAATTCGGGGAATTCCCCACCATAAGCCTTGCATGGTTCCATCAATTTCATTTTTTGTTGAACAGAATCTGCCACTATTTGAGCATTTTCCACTAACGGCGTGTTTGCTTACTGTGGTATTCATTCTACTGATAAGGTACACTTGTCAAATATGTTTGTAGTCAATCCCGTGTCATTACTAACTCAATGGCTTTCTGCTGCTGTTTTTGCTGCTGCTGCTTCCATTGGCTTTGCCTGTTCTTGGATGTGCACTGTGGTGTGTGTGTATATGTGTGTTTGTTTATATCTCCTTTCTCCTCACATGTGTCAACACCTACCCGTCCTGTGCGGCATCGCCCTATCCTCACCACTCAACTCGATATCCGCAACGCCACCTCCGTCGCCTCGTCATGTGACAATGATGACGATGCGTACGATGATGTCACCAACTATCCCCGATGATGTCATCAACTACTGCTAACCTTTAAATGTAATGAATTGGCTAATTGATATGAACGCGCGCGCGCGCGCACACACACACACAGGTGGATGTGCTGGATAATCGCAAGATACCCATTCAGCCCACCGCACGTCCCTCATGCATGCCCTACCTAAGCAGATCACGCCAGCCCATTGCGCTTCACGGCGGCCTGACGCCAAACGACCCGGACAAGCAGAACTTCCCCGCATTCTCCTTCATGCCGACGAGCGCTGCCTCGTCCAATGACCGTGCCACCGGTGCCGAGGGACAAGGCAGCCCGACGGAACCGTTCCGGCCCGTGAATGCCGTGGTGCCGTACCGTAAGATGTCCGCCGACAAACTGCAGCAGTCAGGTCCCACACAGGAGAGGGGTACAACCCCGGACATGGGCCATAGCACACACCGTCTGAATGTGTATAGTCCGGCGGAAGCGGAGCGCGCCTACAGCAAATCCTACGAGAAAGGACTGAAAACAAGCCCCCTGAACGAAGTGGTTGATTCCAATATGGCCCTTCCGACAGACACCATCTCAGATAATGGGGTGTTCAGTGACGGGGACGACGAAAAGGACATCAACGCCCATCACGCTCTCAAGAAGATCAAATCGACGGCTGATGACGAGGACGAGCTCTTCCGTGACATCGCCATTGCCTGCGAATCGCAGTCCATCGACATCAATGAACTGGTCGACAACGATGTGGAGGACACAGGTCGCATCGCCAGGGCTATCTCCATGGAGCTGGAGCGACGGCGCAGCTCCGAGATGCACAAGACGCCACTGCACAAGCTGAACTCAGCGGTCAGTAGCTTCACGACAGTGGACTACAACCCCAGCGAGGGCATGAACTTCTCGCCAGAACACACCAGCGTGCTGCCCGCAATCACGAAAACCGACTGGCAACACTCGGTGGACCACATAAAGCCCGTGGCGACGGGCTCGCCGATGAAGCCAGAGCACTTCGACGCCAAGATGGACGTGAGGCAGTGCTTCGAGGACTTCGCCCGCTCGACAGTGCCGCATCTGATGAAGCACACGCCGCCGGCGGCAACGCCAGCTAAAGCCCCCGTCCCCATAGCAACATCGGCAGCACCAGTGCCACCACGGCCAGCGCAGGTGCCGTTAGTGGCAGCAGCGGCATCGTCAGCAGCGTCTGACATGTCACAGGTCAACACTCAGAGCTTGCCACGCACACGCGAACACACGGACACGCTGGACCGGTCGGACATGACAGCGTTCGGCGCAAACCCGGACACCCTGAAACGTGCCAACGGACTATTGTCGCCCAGCGCTGAGGTCCCTGTTACCATCCTATAGACAACATTACAAACACACCTCTTGTCTCCAGTATTGTCAAAGATCTGCAACCTGACACACCCTGAGTTCACCGTACACGTACATGTATATAATTATGAAGAGAGATTATTTTATAGACTTCTGTAAATACTTTTATCCGACCAAAAAATGAGAGAAAGAACTTTTTAACTATTTTTTTACAGAGAATATCAATATCATGGCTACCGTCCATTTTTAAAGATTTTTCAAACTTGTTGCCAAACTTCTGAAGTATAATATTATTATCATTGAATCCTAGTGTATGTTCCATTGAATTGAGCAGATTGGCCCAGGCTGGCTGTAATTGGCTATTCCAAGCTCAAGCAGAGAACCAGTGCACATACCAGGATACATGCATTTGATCGTGTGATTTTGTTCATGTCACAAGCTACAGTACAGAACGTGTACTACCGTGATGGCAGCTGAAATCCGCCCCCCTGAGCGGTGCGCTCACATCGCGAAGACCCAACACGAGATGGTAAAACGACGAGACAGAGACCGCTAGAATGTGAACCCACCGCTCAGGGGGTCGGATTTCAGTTGACAGCACTGTAGTATGCGTACATGACGGGCATGCCATGAGCAGCTAGCAGGGGATGACATCATGCATTATTATGCTGTTTTTACCTGGTATACACGTACGTACATGCACCAGAAGCTGCTGAACATCTAATTCTGATACGGTGAAGACAGTCGAGGGTTACTTAATGAGCCTCGGAGCTCTAGACCTCTAGGCCGTCTATCGCGTATCTTACATGTTTAAAATATTAAATCTGTTGATCCCCGAGATGCAGAGAGTGCTCAATGTCAGAGACAGAGCTTAGTACAGTTTTTTTTTTTTTTTTTTTTTTTAACTGATAAAGCCTCTTGTACGGGCAAAAGCGACACAATGATGAGAAACCAGGGTATGATAGGAAGATAATATTAAAAATACTACACAGGTGTGGACAATATGTCTCCGGAATGGCGAGAGTCACACTAAAACACAAATGGTTTTAGATCCGGCTTTCAACCACTGCCAGCTCCCTGAGCTCGTTAGCTGGACGATGGTATGCCGACCGAGACCCACGGACACACATGACAGCGGACCGGAGCAGCGCGAAAGACAGCCTGCAGCGCACATATGCAACATGGTGTGCATAGGGCATGCTGGAATCAGCCCTGGCAAGCAAGCCACAGAGGCGCTTAAGGAACCTTTCACATTCAGGGGCGGCAACACCAGAAGTTGACAACACCAGCGGGCTGAATGTGCCACGATCCACATTGACGATTCGCTCTCCGTACTGCAGCTTCTTCTGGCGCTCGTGCTGAAGCAGTAGGGCATCCAGTGGTTGGGCCGAGTAGGACGCCGCATCAGGATGGAAGACGCGTACATCAAAGAAAGCATCCTGTGCTCGGGTCCAGAAGCCACGGGCACGGACATCAGCGCGGGCATCCTCGGCGGTGTTTGTTGATGCAGCCATAAACACCTCTCCAGAGAGCGGGGCTAGCTGAGGCTCGATTGCCACTGCGTGGCAGACCTCCGTGAGTAGCTCCCCTACCATGTCACGGACTTCGTTATGGCGGATTGTAGGGAAGCCACCCCGGGGGCAACACATGGCATGAGCAGTGGAGAACAGAACTCCGCAGGCACACTTCGTGGGGACATCGAGGAGAGGCCAGTCATACCGCAATGCAAGGCCGTCCCTGAACTCCTGCTTCGAGAGGTGGAACCCATGTTCCTTGAGAGGAAGAGCAGTGAGCCAGGAAGAGGGGCCTTTGCGGGACAGCTCATCCATACGACGGGCCAAGGGGCGGTCCGCAGCTTCTCGGAGAGCAGCGAAAGAGGCAGCACTAGCTTTCTTGGAGGACTTGGCAGCAGATGCTCTCTCACGGCGGGCTAGCTGATCCACAAAGTCGCAGGAATGATGCTGCCACTCTCGATCGTGCTGGTGGATGATCTCGTCAACCTGGCTGCTCGTGATGACTTGGGAAGCCTGCAGTTGGGAGGTAGCAATTTCTTTGAAGTATGGCAAACCGATTCCACCGAGCCGGCAAGGTAGCCGTAGAAGAGAGAGGTCATCCGCCGTGAATGTGCGTTTCCCTGTCAGAGCCGGAAGGAAGTGCTCCGTGACCGTGTCATCCAGGCGCTGCAGCTGTTCAGCTGAGAACTCCAGTGTACGAAGGAGATATGTCCATCGACCACGCAATCCGTGTGTGAGGGCGGCATACGCCGCATGAGGTTCGGTAGTGGCAATCTCGGACAGTCGCATAAGCTCCTGCTGCCAGTCTTGTACTTTCCCAGCTGTATAGCCAGCGATGAAATCCGGTGTCCCTATAGCGGCACCCAGGTAGCGTGCTCCATCCGTGACCACTTCAATGCCAGTTCCTGCAAAGACACTGTGGGCCAGGTTGAGCAGGTCAGGCTTGACGAGGAGGAGAGTCTTCGAGGCGTTGACATGGTAACCGTAAGGTTTCCCGGTCTCGTCCACATCATCCCACCAGCGTCGAAGGGCCCGTAGCTTGCCTGCACCACTTGAATCATCGGCATACCACAATTGACGGATGTTGGCGTGGGTAGTGCGGAGGTGCCGTACGAATGGTAATGTAGCGAGGGCATAGAAAACCATCGACAGAGGGTCACCTTGTGTGGTACCCTCTGCGGAGGAAAGCTCACCACCGCCAGAAACGAAGAGGCGGGCATCATCTTGGTAGCAGTTCAGCAGTGTGGTAGCCAGGGAAGGACACAAGTGGCGAACATTGTGAAGAGCTGCTTGGCGGTTCAGGCAATTGAAGGCATTCTTCGCGTCAACTAGTAGGACTCCTTCAGTTGTGGCGTCCTCATACAAGCGCTTCATGGCGTGGACCGCTGCTTCTATCCCAGCTGGCAATCCAGAACACTTCTGGAGAAAACCACAGGCCTCCATTACATCGTCTGACGTTACTCGGAGAATGGATTTGGCTAGAATGCGACGGAGGACCTCAGACACCCCAATGGGCCTGACACCTGGGTTCTTGTCCAGGGCAATTAGACGACAGGCGGTGAAGGGGGTAAGAGAGTCTGGCGGCAAGGTTTGTGTTGCTAGCAAGCGGCCGAAGGACGCCATCGCCGAGCAAAGGTTGTTGGAGGCCCCTTTGTACGCCGAGCACATACGTCGCCATGCTGACGAGTCGAGACCAGAGGGACCTGCCGAGCCTTTCGCCTGCATGGCCACGGTTTTCACGAGGTCGGCAGTCAGGGAATCAAATCGGATTGGGTGGCACTGAGGCGCTGCTCCCGCTATCAGGATGTGCTCTGCTGCTGGAGTGCCGCAAGGATGCTTACTCTCCAGGGCTGCCCGCACGGTTGTGGTGGAGTCCTTGATGGTGATCGAGTCATCGATACCTAACACACCGGATGACTGCGTGGACTCAGCTTCAGATAGGGAACGCAGGGCATCGTGCACACGTCCTTCTGCCATGAGGGAACCAAAATGCCTTGCCTTGTCCTGCTCACCTCGTCGACGTGCTCCTCGGTGTGGCTCACGATGCCGTTGCAGGCAGCGTCCTTCCTCAACCAGAGCAGTGATATTACCATCTGCCCAGAGGGCCATCCGGCGCTGGAGGTGACTCGTGTTGTCCTTGGGCTTGGATCGACGATACGTTTGTTGTAGTAACAGAGCTGGGAGCACGGCTAGGTTGTACAGCGCTGTTCTGTGGGTACCAGCAGACTGAACAAAGTCCTGGATCTGTTCACACATCAATGTTACAAATCGCTTCCCGGCCGAGCCTGTTGGGAGCTTGAAGAACCGCTTCTTCCAATGTACGACCTCAGAGTATACGCCCCGCTCCGAGACCGAGTGAGGAGTGGTGTTCGCCTCACTCAAGTGGGCAGAGTGCACAGATTGACTTGTGGGTTCCGGCATAGGCTGTGATTCGCTCCTGGTTTCTTGTGACTGAGAGGGGGAGCCCACTGCTAGCGCTGGGAGATGTACGGCTTGTTCGTTGCCGTTGCGGATGTTCGTGTTCAAGGTGCTTTCAGCAGGCCGGCTGTCAGAGTCCCGAGTAGTTGCTATTGTTGTTGAAGTTCTCTCTCGTGGCTCAGTTTGTCCCATGTCAACGCCATGACGGCACTCCGTGATGAGTGCGTTGATGCTCTGGGCAGTTGCGGAAGCGGCTGCCGAAAGCTCTTCGCACTCACTCACGGTTTGGCTTGAGTCCGCACGTAACGGGTTTGTGTCGTCGACCTGTTCTACCACTGGCAACGGAGACGTACGCACTTCACGCGTACACCCTACCGTAGGCCTGCGATTTGAACATTTCTGCTTCTTTCCCGGAGTGCAGTTCGAGCACGGACGTTCTGCTTGGCGGCAGGAACAGTTGGTTCTACAGACGCCATTACCCGCACAAACACAGCATCGACGTCCAGCTGGGGCTTGGCTGGTGGCCGCATCAGTATCACTACCCATAGCCTGCTACTAGTTGTCACATGCTAAATCTACACGGTCACGTTCACAGCTGCACAGATGCCCTGGATCGGAGCTTCAAAATTTCAAACCGCCCAGCTTAGTACAGTGCGTATCGGTTATAGCGTGGTCGTGTAAAAGAATATACTGCCTACAAGAATGAACTCTCATGTTTTCATAATCAAAACATGGATTTCAAGTGCACATTTATTCTTACAAGCAATTTTATCGTACAGTAGAATATATCGGTCCTAAGAATGGACTTTGTGTAGCAAAACATACCAGATTAGTACAAAGTATATCGCCTGTACTACAGTAGTAATAATATCCGTCCGATTCAGTTCTGATCTGACTCGCGTTGGGTCTTAGTGCTGCAGGCTCAACTGTTGTGGTCATGTAACTCATGTTGCATAGCCACATGGTAAGCCTATGTGACTGTGACCAGCCGCATGCACAGCAGCACTACATTGCATGTACGATGATCTTCCTGCCTCTGCGTACATGCACATGATATGTCACACTTGATTTATCGTGTGTAAGAAATATCGGAAATAAGAATAGAAAGTCGTTTTTCAAACACCCACGCTATAACCGATACCTACTGTACATAGCAGACTCAACGGAGGACGTTCAGGTCTGAACGTCCACCGCTGAGTCTGCTATGTTTAAAATGTTAATATAATGCATTACAGTGAAGCCGACTCCATGCAGTAATTTTAAAACAGACGGCGAGGAGACAACACTTTTTATAACCGCAACCAATAAACTGACGAGCTAAATCGACATGTCTAATCAATACTAATTATCGTACCGTATTCCCGTAGCTATG